TTTGCTATTGTCTGATCAGGAAGAATTCAGACTCAGAAATGATGCAGAAGATACGAAATGCCAGCAAGATGCTTCACAATTCCAAAAGCTGCATCCCTAATATGAAAAATGTGGCTATTTTGATAAGAAATGATCATGAGTTTTAACTGCCATTCACCATAGAGTTCTGAACCCTTTTGGAAGACTGAACACTGCCCTACTTGGGGAGATTCATGGCATTTTTAGGGCCTTTTGAAGTTCATGTAAAACCTGTTATTAGATGATTTTAAAAATGCCTTTTAGGAAACAAAGGGCAGTGCAATCACCAGTGGTGAGGAGGATTACAGAGGAAAAAAGTAAAAACCACATTTTTCAAAGGTATATGATTTAGCAATCGACTTTCTCCTAATTTGCCACAGGAGGTAAAATCCTGTAGTACTGAGATAGTTCTGGATTTTTTACCAACGGCCATTTGAGTCTGAGTTTTCATTTATGCAGATCAGACACCTGAGGAAACCGAGAATGTCTACATTTCCCTTTTTGTTCTGAAACAAGAAATATTCTTTATAGCATCTGAGGGAACATCCAAAGTATAAGAGAGACTTTAGATATCATTTTTCCTTCGAAAGAAAGCTATTATTTTATATAAAGGCAAAAAAACCCCAAACAAAACCATTTGAAGAGTGTTCAATCAAAACAAACTTAGCCTTGAGTGTTTTGGGAGAATAGAAATTTCTTCTGCCAGAAATCCTTCCTAAAGGTAATGCCAACTTTAAGCATCCTTTTTTCAAACGTAACAGAAAGAAAAGAGTAAGGCCTTTACTTGTAGTATAATTAGCAAAGCTTCCAAGAAGAAAGGGAATAAAATATTATACACATGTTTTTGCAGGATATAAAATGGAAAGAAAAAAAAAATAATTCTGGTTGAAAAAACCCAGCAAAGTCATAATTGTACATTAAAGGAACATTGTCGTGTACTTGTCTGTACAGGAACACGACTGCAGTTGGTCAGACCCAAGGAAAGACACACAGTTCATTAATTTGAAATGAGAGCGAGGATGCCTATGAAAGCACAAAGATACCTTCAAGCAGCGAGCGACTGATGGCAACCTTTGGAAATTGTTTTCAAACCTCCCACTGCGAACACATAAGTTCAGAGTTACAGACGATTCCTAACGCCTAAACCAGGAGTATTGTTAGCTTGGTTCAAAGTGTCAGTGTGGAAATGCAGCCAGTATGCTTGTTTTTCTTCCTTGTTCACAGTTGTCTCAATCTGGAACAAAGTTATTTTAGTTGGCAGAGACTACACCCAAAATATTCATGGTAAAACCTTCCCTTACACCAATCTTACAGCAGAGTATCTTTATTGAACTAGATTCTCTTTGTATCCAGGTTATGCTGCACTCAGCAACAAAAGGGAACCTTTGGAATCTCTCCAGTTCGTGTCCTTGCCTAGCCCCAAGCTAATGCTCTATTTCAGTACGAGCACTGTGGTTTCACCTGTGCCGTCCTTTTTACACTTGCCTGATCTTCCTGCTCTTAATGCTGATGGATCTTCAGCACTACAGGCCCTGGGAAGGACAGCTTGCAAGCTGGCTAGGCTGGGTCCGTACTTGTAAGGGTTTGCACCCCATTTGAGAGAATCCCTAAGGACAGTTTATGCCTCTTCTGTCGTATCTGACCACAGAATAGGCAGCAGGTTTGTCTCACTAACTAATGACTGAGTCCAGAATAAAACCTCAAGCTTCCTCTGCACACAAGCAGTATAAGACCGGGCACGGTTGTTCAAGGCAGCCAGGTACTCACACTCCCAGCTTTCACATTTACTTATTCTGGATGCATACACAAAATGGACAACAAAATGCACCAAGTGTCCGCGCAGATGCATGCCTGCAACTCTGCAGATTTGCATGTGTGGCTGCAATAGCTGCGTATACAACTGAAACACAGCTCTGTTCTGCAAAATGCTAGCTTTACACACGGTTTTCCTAACCCACTCTTAACTGAGATTCTTCACTTTACACTGTGAGCACACACTGCATTTGTTCTCTTTAATTAAACAGCATAACTAAAATGTATATTGCAAATATAATAATCTGACTGTTCTTTCCCAAAATGGTTATTCTGTGTACAAAGGAATTTTATATTAAAAACAAAAAAACCCCAAAACCAACAACAACAAAAAAGTCCAGTCTATTGTGTTTGGCCACATGTAGCCACCTTAACTTTAAAAAAAAAAAAAGAACAGATAACGACTGATTAGCACTTATGTTTCCAAAGTTTTTGTGATCTTCCATTTTTCTGCTCCTATGCCACTGAGTTTGAACCGCTTCCCTACAAGCCTGTGCACAGCAAAGTATGAGTAAACATTTTCAGAATACATCTCTCACGCTGAGGATCCACAGTTGATTTTGATATAAAATGTTATTAACTTTAGCTCCTAGTACAAAAGGTCTTGATCAATAATTGTTTCTACCTGTCTATCTTATTTCTGTGTATCTTCTAAGACACTTCTGGGTTGCTGCCAATACATTTTGGTTTGTAAGCACATAACAGTGTATCATACACCTCAAATCTGTGTGGTTTATCTTATCTTTTCATTAGGTAGAAGATGGGTTTTTTTTTTTTTTATCTACATAGATTAGATTAGTTTAAGGTCACCCTGAGAAAAGAAAAGGGAAAAAAACAAACCAAAAAAAACCCTAAAAGAAAACACAAGAGAAGAGGAAAAAATAAAATAATAGTGGGGAAAAAAAGAAAAAAGAAAAAAGGATAAAGAAAGGGAAAAAGAAAAAAATAAAACAAAATTGTAGAAAAATGGAATCCCATATATTCTAAAATAAGTCATCCTATCATCACAACTAGCCTCCTCTTCAAATCATTCTTACCAATATTTAAAGCCTAGAAATACAAGAACCAAAACTAGACAACCTTAAAGGGGATCCTCTGGACACCAGCCTATGTACTATCTTGTGACTGTTCTTCAAAAATACATTGCCACCATTCGGCCATAATATTCAAAAGGTCAAGCACTATGGCCAGATGATCCTAAATATCTCATTGAGTGTTTAATTCTTGAAGAAGCAAAATCACTGCATGGTTTGTTTGTTGGGTTTTTTTTTTTCCCTGTGTTCCCGTTACTGACCACAGTGGAAATACCATCAGGTGTGAAAACAACACAGAAGCTGATAGTTTCTGATCTTTTATCTTAGAGTGGGCTGCTTGTAAGATTTTGTAAGGTGATTCATAAGTATACCAAAATAACTAAAGGGGAATAAAGAAAAAAAATCACTTATTCTGTCATCAGCTCAGTTAATATTAAACCTGAAGGCAAGAGGTATCACCTTAAGGGTGACAATAAGTAAGGTGACTGCAGTGAATTCCCCGATGACACACACTATCAATGGGGATATTTAACATGCCATTGGTAGTACGGTCCTGAAAGCACTCAGTGGGCTCTGGATCAGACTGGATCAGGAGGGAAGTGGCTACCAATACACTAAGAAGGCCAAGGGTGTAAGTGGGGAGCGTGGAGACAGTCCTGGGAGATTGTAAAATCAGCAACAGTTACTTTCAGTAATGAATAAGCTTTCTGGTGTCTTGGCAGTCATCAGTGGCTCTGTATCTCATCCATTCATGCGCCTCAAACTTACAAATGAATCTTCCTTGCTGCATTCCTTTACTTGTTAAAAATCCTGAACTCAATATGTTTTTATCACCCATGGTGGATTACCTTAGTGACAGTGCACCGCAGGGTGCATATTTACTGAGAGCCAGTATAAGAAAAATATAACTTTCTGCAAGACTACGGGGAATATATTTTAAAACAACTCTCCTCTGGTAGTGGAGAAGGGGCTGTGAGCAAGCTGTCCACAGGCAAAGAAAGCAGGAGCCACTCTGTCACCTGCACCCCTTCAGACTTTTATCTTAAAAGAACTGAGCAGGAACTCCAAAACCAGAATGAATTGTACACAACAGATCAAACATTTTTAAACTCATAAAATCTATTTCCTGGTACATGATGCTTTTGCCATAGATACTTTATATCTAATTTCTGGGTGAATTATGTTCTCCTAGTGATCTGCATTCAGCACATTAGTAAAACATTAAAAATTCTTCAGGGTAAAATAAAAATCAAAGGCGTTTTTGAATGTTTGGAAATTAGTAGAGAAAAAGAGGAAGTGGTGAAGAAGAAAAAGCAGCATGCCTGGAGGTAGCAGGAAAGGTAACTCTTCTTTATTCTGGTTGATAGGGGAACACTCAATTTCAGTGTTCATTCTACTCATTTAATGTTCGAGGCAACTTTCTGAGACAAAACATGAGTCTTTGAACTATTCATTGTTGAGAGTTAGTCTCTACCTCAACAGAAAGGGCAAAGAGCTTCCTCATAAAAATGTTGCTACCAAGACACAAATATCATCAGTTGGCTAATTGGATGGGAGAGGTTAAGGGAGCAGGGCTCACACAGAAATGCTGCTGCATAGCAAGAGCTGGTGCTTCTTGTGTGTGGTGCCTTTACCACAGATTAGACCACGTTTGTTCAAGGAGATGAAATCCACTTCTCTAGCAGGAGTCATTCAAGTCCTGTATGAATCTTCAACCTGTAACCTCTAACTCCAGCTTCAATGGATTTAATTGGAACACAGCCCTAAAAAAAATCATCTAGCATTGATACGGTTTTAAGACCATATATTTAAGACCATTATGTTTAACACATTATATTTAAAAGAAGTTCTGCAAAGTACATGGTTTATATTAGATTCTCTCTTTCTCATGATCTACATTGTTTCACAAGATCTGCACTAAAGATGGAATTTTGGAGGCAGAGCGAGTGGGAGGCTGTGAATAGTTTATTCAAAAAAAGTTAATTAGAACTGAAATTATTCAGCATTTTGAGTCAAATTTGACAAATAACTTGTGCTGATTAAAAAAAAAAAAAAAAAAAAAAAAAAAAAAAAAAAAAAGTGGGACTTAAGTGACCATTCACAAAACCAGCAAGGCAGAGAAGTCTGCAGACCTACCATGTCTCAGTAAGGATGACATTCGTCTCAATACAGGGACGTGTGGGCTGAAGTCTTCCTTCTGCTTGGTTCAGAGCAGGATTTCGGGAAGCGCAGTCTCCCATGTTGGAGGTGGATGCCTAACCACTGGGCTGCGAGTGACATCCGCTGCTACGAAGATTCATATCTCTTATGAGAAGAAATAAAAAAATTGGTAATATTTTGAGTTGAAATATTCAACTGGTCCGAAACAAATGTAAGATTCCAATTTCTGGTTTGGTTTGTTTCTTTTCCAGTGAGACAGTTCTACTCCCTCCCTTCCCCTTGAACATACAAAGCATTTACCTTCCTTTCAATGGTGAGCCTCCTAATTTGAACAAATGGACTTCTCATTTATGGTCTATGGGGGGTTTCATCTCACCTACTTCAAATCCCTATAATGGACAAAATATCTTTGAATTTAATACTCCTGAGATCACTTTGATGGAGTCATTCACCTATCTGCTGTCCAAAAAGATGGATCACACGTAGGTGGCCTGCTTTGCCCAGTGGACTATTGGGGTGATGAGCAGGTGGTGCATTTCCATGGTAGCTGTCTGTATTTGGTGACATGAATCCCATCACTGATGGGATCCTTTTTCCCCGCCTAGGATTGACACTTAAAGTAAACACAAAACCCTTTCATAATCCTGTAGCTTTTCTCTGATACCAAGATACTTTAGAAAACAGACAAATCGGTAACTAGCTATTCCAGCCCTCCTTTTGATTTCATAAATGCAAATTAAAAATACTTATCTGCTGTATAAAGACTTGGCATGTTTAAATAACTATTATCCTTTAAATATATTCCAGTGATGTAGGAATCATTATTGTAACAGATAGAATAGGCATTAAATCCACAGGGGAGTCATTAAAAGATGGCTATTTCTCTCTGTTTGACCGAAGCAGCAGTTGTAATGTATTTATTCAGGATTTAGCAAATGGAATTCAATTAGAACTGAAATGGTGTTAAATTGAGTAATTCCTATTGTATTTGTCTGACAGACAGGAGTGGCATGACCTGAAAAGTTAAAAGGAACAGTATTCAGCTAGGATCTCTGTGTTCTGTAGCACTTGTTGACAGAATGTCACTAAACAGGTATATACCCTGCTTAACTTCTTAATCACCTGTAGTAAAAAACAAGGACCAAACAACATTTATTGACATTATGTGATGAAGTCACACTTTAATAGAAATAATCTCTTATTTCCGAGGCTGAAATAGAACTTAAAATTCCTTGTATTACAGTTGTGTTTGAGTCCAGTGTTCTGATATAATTCCATTCTATGCAATGAGAAAGAATATCTTGTTTCTCTGGAAGAGGTTTTATTCAGGGACAATGTGATTGTAAAGTATGCAGCAAAATATTGTCTTTTGTTTTTAACATAGTATGAAGGCACACGTATTTAACACCTTCTATGCAAGTGTGTGCATCTACATGCATCAAATGTAGAAAACTACAGAGACTTGTGCAACACATATGGATGAAGAGGTCAAACACTGACTGTACTGTCTATAAAGGAAGACATTAGATAGGATGTGATATAGGTGAGTGACATAAAACAAGGCAGGTACGTGACTTCCCTATTTTTGTAAAACCTCTTCAGCACGAACAGATGGGGCTGGGGTGGCATTCCCTGTGATTATCCATGGGGAATGCAGCCTGATGCCACTGAACACCAGACGCCGCTACTCAGCAATAACGTTGCATCCGTTAATGCATTTACTTGGCTGTCCCTCGTGTTGTGCATCTTTTGCACACACACACACACACACACACACACAAATCAGTCTGGAAATGACATCTGGCACATGTTGAACATAGAGGAAAACAAAGAAAAACTACATGAAAATGGTCTAGTGAATTTATGAGCCTTGTTAAGGAAATAGCTGTGCTAACAATCCACTCGGATACTTTAGTCACTGCCTCAGACCTTCCACAGTAAAATATTGCATTAAAGCAGTAATCATAGCAAAGGACTTTACAGAATGTGAATAGAAATATTTTTTTTTTAATAGTGGCAAGTGAAACAGTCCTCTTGTTTTGGTTCTGCAACACAGAATGTGACCTCAGATGAGGGAAATAATTATATTTTAGTTTTCTATTATTTCTACAGTTCAGATCTTTCTAGCCTTAAGCACCTATATGATTTCATTCACATTAGTATTCCCACTAGTTGCCAAATCTCTAATTCAAGAAAATACTAAAGCTCATGCTTAAACTTTAGCATGTGCTTTACTGTTGCTGTCTGAAAGGGACTGGGTTGTTAGTTGGACTTAGAGGAAATAAAACGCCAGTAGAATCCTCACCCATGCCCTGTCATGATCCCGACGAAAGATTTTCATTGTAATTTGCATTCAAGTAACGAATTTTCACAGGAACAGGAGCAGCTCAATCATGTCAACAGAATTCACAGTTGAATAAAGCTGGATTTTGTTTGTTCTTTTTAAAATGTAGATGTGATTGGTGATACTAAAAGGCATGTCTGAGAGCATTTTGGTGAGCAATTTTTAGGGGACCAAATCCAAAGCTCCCATTTCAGAAAATGGGTCCATTGTTTGCCTATTTTAATATATTTGTAATGACTTTACCAAAAATTGTTTTTGATGAGTATACACTAAATATCCATTATTAAATATGGAAGTATAACATTTGTAAGAAGCATTTTACAATTCTAACCTCGATTTGTTGAAAATACTTCCATAAGATTTTAATATATAAAGAAGTATGCTGTTTAGGAGGAAGAATTATGCCTTTAGCTGCCTTCTAAAATATTCAGATGTTCAGAAAAGGAGGCAAACATATGATAAAAATCCCGCTGGACACCACAGTCCCCTTTGGAGCACTGGAAAGCAGATGGTGTCTTTAAAAAACAAGACAAGATCAGTCTTACCAAAAAACAGATGCTATCCATTTTCCAGGAAAGATCACTGGCAACTAATAAGTTCACACAATAAACTTCTGCTGGCTCAAGAAACATATTAAAGAGTTCAGAATAAAGAAATTTATCTAGAATATTTCAAGGGAGAAATAACCTGAGGTGCAATAACGTAATTTTTTTCATAACTATAATCATCTTCACATCAATCCAAACCTATTTCTGAGACAGAAGTTGAAACAATAAAAGTTCCTCCTAAAAGGAGGTGAAAGCATTGTCCAGAAATTTAGGAAAAGGGAACAATACTGTTTTAAAATTCTTAATCTAAAGAAAAATCTGAAAGTTATATACTTCCAGACAAAAAACAAACAAACAAAAAAAAAATTAAAAAAAAATTGCAAAGCACTAGGAGATGCAGTTTTGGATACATGAACCAGACATTAGTTACTTCTAAGTCCTAAGTTTAAGAGCCCGGAGCAGTTTCCAGGATAGCTACTGGACACTATGCATGACAATCGCTCACCCTATTTGTAAAATGTCATGTATCACTCCATGTAAAAAGCAACAGAACTGCTATTGTATTGCATGTATAGATTCAGCATGACATCTCTCTTTTTTTTTTTTCCAATATATAAGGAAAAATTAAAGCCACACTTTTTTTACCACACTTTGTTTTTAGTACTATATCAGGCTGTGGACTTCACTAAAGCAGGAAAAAGCTCATGAAGTCAAATTCTATAATTGGATTTTATAAGGGAGAGCAAAGTATGAGAGACTATATAATGTAAATTTTAAAGACACTAAAGACATTTCTACTTATACATTTGGAAGGAGAGAAACCGTAACTGTGAAAGTCATCTGATCACAGCAGGAATGCATTTTCATTTGTTGTTTTCCATAAGCAGCACTGGATATTTAGCCAGTTTCATTATTGCAGGGGATGAATAACTCAAAACTATGAGATATGGACATAATACAGAAAATCTCCTGAGTAAAACACACTCCACTGACATACACTGGTTCAGTTCCATTAATTCTGATGCAGTAATTACAGAATATATAATTTTAAAAGAATCTGAATTCTAAACACCAAAATGTATCAACATGTCACAAACGGAGTTGTCCTTCTCTTCCTATCTGTCATTAAGATGTAGCCAACGTTTGAAAACAACCTACCGAGTGTTAAAATGAGATGCAACACCTTTAAGAAGCACTTGCGAGTAGGAAGTAGGGAGTGCTATATACTGCTGAATATTTAAAACAAGATTTAATGAGACAAATATACTTGTGCTGTTAGAGATAAAACACCAATCGCCGTGAAGGGTGGTGTGGATTTTTCATGCCCCAAAGCCCCATTTTAAGCCATGGTCTGAATCCTTACGCTTGTAGCTAGACAGTGTCTTTGAATCCATGGCACCCGGGAGCTTCAGTCCTAAAGACCATAAAACTCCTTCTTCTCTTTGAGTAAAGGGGCTCATTCTGCTTTTGGTCCAACCCTTCTGTTAGTCAGGCTGCCACGTGCTCCTGTTAATGGAATGATCCTCAAACCTAGGTACCATTTATTTGAGTTCTGTAAATAGATACTTACAAATAGATATCTGTCATAAGCATGCAAGGAAAAGAATGGCCTATGACAAAAATCTGTTTCCCAGTTCTTTTAATGTAACCTTGAGGAATTTATGTCTGTAATATAAGGATAATAACGACCCTGATGTTTACAGAGGGTTTATAAAAGATAAATTTTAATGTGTATGAAGTGCTCATATACTCCAGGAACAAATACATAGGGATGAACATTTAAGACAGGTATTTTTCAGCCTGGGCCATAGGTAATTCATAGAAATGCAAACCAGCAAAGGAAAAAAAGAAAAAAAGAATGGACTTTTCACAGAAGCTTCCTGACTGCCACATCCTAGTCCTGCAAAAGTAATTTAAACTGAAAATCATTTCCATTCTGAACCTTTCACAGGCCTTTCACAGGGCTCGTTTTAGCTTCTTTCATAACAATTCTGCATTTGGCTCATCTTCCCCTCCCTTCTTTCTTTTAAATCACAGCCAAACTTAGATAATAAAAGTTGAAAATAGAGAGATAAAGACTTTCTGCTACATTTTTCTTATTCAGGTTAGAAGATAATTCTGTTTACTTGGTTCAGGTAATATTCCAGTTGTACTGCAAGCTACCGCAAAGGAATGAAAAATTGATTTTCTTCTTGTAAAGTATAGCGTACATGAACACCTATAATCTTGATACATTTGCAGTGATTTTAAAA